TCCTACACAGAGGAATTGATGCATATCATAAATACTAGGGATGCACCAATACCGATATCATTACTGGTATCGGGTCTGATGCCACCCTCTAGTACTGTATTCACTGCTCGTAAAAGTTGTCCAATACCACTTAAAAGCAGCAATACATTAACCACACACTGGCTGAGCCACTTGTTAGGCGGTGGAGAAGAAATTGCAGTGATTCATGGATATTTTAAGATAAATGACAATGACAAAAGTAATGCTGACTGTGAGTTCTGATTCTCTGCTCTGTCTCTGTCACAGGGAGGCAGGTGCGCTCACAGACACACAAAAGCGGACAAGATGACAGTAGTTAATATTTTACTGTGACAGCAATGCTCGATATGTGCAACAATATCCAGCAGCACAGGAGAGTAATTAATCAAACACCTGTTGAATAAGCTCAACACAACAACAAACTTGCAGAGATGCGACATCTTCACGGTCAAAATGCCTGGTCTGTTCACCCACTAAATCCATATGGTGCTGGTTATGCCGATGGTAGTGAACTGAACGAGAAAAAATAAACGCTCATTTTCTGTAGTTAACAGCGGAGTCTGATGAGCTGTGTATATGAAAATGAGTTGAATCCTTGTGGACATAGAGGCTGAGACCAGCAGCTCCTCTATAGCAGCACAGGTGTGTGCCCAGCAGAGAGCACATGATGAAGCCACAAACAGTCGCCAGAGCATATACCCTCTTCAAATTTAAACACTTAAATTGCCAACTGTGATATTATGACTTCCAGATTTGCTGTACTGGGTAGAGGTTGTGAAATAATTTCATCCTAACAGAGTTGTGCTCCTATAAAGGCTAAAAACCACTGTAATACAGTGTCGTATGTAGTAGCCTACAAACCTTCAGCCAGTTAAATGTTATATTCAGTAGGAATGGTGGCAGTGCTGTGTTTATCACAGTTTTCAAAATTACATACAGTAGCTTCCTGTTATAATTTAATCACAAGGGTCAAAAGGTAAATCTCATGAATACATTTTATAGTTATAGTAATTTTTGTAGTAGAAACACTGCATCATTACTGAGTACTTGCATCAGTACCTGGTATCGATTTCTGCTAGGTTTCACTTAAATGCACACACACCTCTGTGAATTGCAGGACTTCTGCCTCCAGGGTTTGGATTCTCTTCTCGCTTTCTTTCAACTGAGCTAAAACCTCATCCCGAGCCAACTTGGTCTCATCCAGCTCGCGAAGAACTTCCTTCAATTGACCCTTGACAAATAAAAATAAATGTTAAAACGGCACAGACAAACAGACAATCACTGTTTATGTGTGGGGAAATGTCTGTGTTACCTGCACCCTGCGTAGCTGCTTCACAGCCTCCTCTTTGCCACGGTTGGCTGCCTCCACCTGGGCCTCAGCTTCCTGCAGTTCTGTTTCTAGCTGTTTCTTGGATGACACAGCCTGAGACCGCTGACTCCTCTCCTCCTCTAGCTGGAGCTCCAAATCTCTCACCTGACAGTGGAGGGAGGACATTAAAAAAATTAAGTAATTTGCAGAAAGGAACAACAGCAACACCTTCTGTGATCTCCTTTCGTCTCCTTTCTACCTGTTTGCCGAGCATCCTCTTCTTCTCCTCTCCCTTCTCCTGGCTGTTGCTGACCTCCCTCTCAAACTGAGCCTTAAGTGCCTGCAGGGTGACCTCCAGCCTTAGCCTCGAGTTCTCTGCCTCTGCCAGCTCCTCCTCCAGGTCCTGCGTCTGAACTCGTAGGTTCTGGGCTTCTGTTTCCAAGTTCCGCCGGGATCGCTCCAGCTCATGAACCTGAAGCAAGAGCAAATAAGAGAGCGGCTCAATGAGAACTGAGACAGAGAGATAATAAAGGGGTCCCAGGAGGAAGATTCTTACGTTCTTGCCGACATCATCCTGCTGGTTTACAAGCTGTTCCATTTCCATACGGAGCTGTTTGTTGATTCTCTCTAGCTCCTCTCTCTGGTCCTGGGCCTCCTATGTACAGAAACACAGGTGTGTTACCACAATCACAAATATCTAACAAACATTCTTGTATTGTCTGCCCTTGAATAGTTTACCTGCAGGGCTCGAGACAGTGACATATGTCTTGTTTCCTTCTCTCGGCTGTCTGCTTCTGCTCTGTCCCTCTCTTCTGCCAATCGAGCACTCACTGCTTTCTCCTCTGCCAGACACTGAGAGGCAAAATGAATGAGGCAAAGTTAGAGGTCAGCGGAAGACATTTCAGAAATATCAACTCAGAGAAAACTGATGACTCTCCAACCTGGTCAAACTTCTTCTGCCTCTTCTCCAGGGCCATGCAGTTCTGCCTCTCCCTCTGCAGGGCCAGTGTCATGTCCTCTATCTCCTCCCTCAGTCGCTCCCTCTGCCTCTCCACTCTCTCCTTCTCCTCTTCCTTCTGGCGCCCCATCTGGACAGCACTGTCCAGCTCTCTCTGGAGCTTCCTGCGCATCTCTTCTCCAGTTTCCACTGCAGTGTTCACCTCTTCCGACTGCTTGCGAAGCTCAGCCAGCTGCAAAGGGGAGCAGAGAGGGGTTTATATATGTCATGGATTTGTTTATTGAAACCTAGAGAAGCAAAATCTGTTTTGGATATTGCAAAGGGGAAAACTGTTAGACACTACTTGTAAAATCACAATGTATGTATGCATCTAGTATATGTTTTCTGTGGAATAATCTAAACTAATATATATTTAAATAATAAAGTGATAGTTCCAGAGTGAGTCTCCAATTTACCTGCTGGGTGTGAGTCTGAATCTGTCGTGATAGCTCTTTGGTTCTTTCCTCCTCATCTTCGAGTCTCTCCATCAGTCCGTTCTTCTCCTCCTCCAGTGTTCGCACCCTTGAGGCCAGAGCCATCTTCTGCCGAGTTTCATCTTGCAGCAACTCCTAAGAAAGAGAAAAATGCAAGAGTGTAAACTAAAGTGCTTTTGAGTCAAGATTGCTGCTACTTCCTCGGTTCAAGAGGAGGATTCTCTTTTAGATTTTATTTAAAAACTAGAACCATCCTCTCAACCATAGAAGTGTCTGTGGCTGTTGTCCAAAAGCTGCAGCCTGACATCACACCTGACCCAGCACTAGTGTCTGTGTGTTTCAGTTGTTACCTTTGCATCGCGCAGCTGGCTCTCCAGGCTGCTCATCTCTTTAGAGAGTCGTAGAGATTTATTTTCAGTGGAGGACAAATTGCTGGAGAGAGACTCAATTTCACACTGAAAGAGTAGAATAGAAAGGTACATTCATTAAGAAAATTAAACACAAGACAGTGTCTTAACTGCAGCACAAAAATCTATTTAGTTATTAATTGTTGTATCAGGTCTTGTAAGTCTAAGTGTATGTGAATACTTCAATATCAGAGCTCTTGAATTCTGCTGCACCTGCAGCTTGTGCATACGCTCCTCCATATCCTCCCTTTCTCTGTCAGTCTGAGCCTGGCGAGCACTGAGTTCCTGCAGCTGATTATCGGCCCTCTTACGACCTCTCTCACTTTCTGTGCGACTCGCTTGGAGACTCTTGAGCTCAGAGATCAAATTCTGCTTCTCTTCCTCCAGCGCTGCTTTGGCCTTATCCAGGGACTGACGTGTCTGAAAGAGGGCATGTATGACAAAATCGATGAGCGACAGTGCATGTTTACATGAGTAAGTGCTTTTGAATGTGAGTGTGTTTGTTTCTCGTACTCTCTTGCTGTTGTCCAGCTGTTCCTGGAGGCTGTCTATAGCAGCACTGTGTTTCACTCTGATTTCTGATAACTGGAGATCATGGCGGCGAGTCTCCTCTTCAATACGTCGCTGGAGCTCATTTACCTCCGTCTCTCGACGAGATCTGCACAAAAGACGAAGGATGTCACAAGGGTTTAATAATATTCGGTAATTTTCATGCCCTTAATTCTTGCCATGCAATATTCTTTTTCATTTTTGATTCTGATAGCAGAAACACAAACTATGAATATTTCAGGATTTTCAGTTTCAAGGCCTGAATTTAAGATCATTTCTTTTCTTATCATTTACCTAAGCTCCTGCTGGGCAGCCGTGGTGTCCAAAGTGTCCTCCAGCTCAGTTCTCAAAGCTTCCAGCTCCTCCCCCAGGTCCCGCCTCTGTTTCTCTGCCCTTTCCCTCATCCCTCTCTCATTCTCCACTTCCTCTTTCAGCTCAGACACCTGAGACATGGCCTCCCTCAGTGCCCTCTGAGCTTCAGCACGACAGGCTCCCTCATCCTCCAACCTGACAGAAACAGAAAGTGATTAATAAAGGGAGAACTGATTTATAAACAAATAAAAAACTGTCTTCCTTTGTGTTACTTTGTCATCCTGTGTCTCACCGGCCCTGTAAGGTGGTGATTTCCTTTTCCTTCTGAGCCAGACTGCTCCTCAGCTCAGCAGTGACCATGCTAAGATCAGTCAGCTGCTCCTGGATCTCCACTGACTCACTCTCCATCCTCCTCTTCCACTTCTCCTGCTCTAAGCGACCCTGCTCCTCACGCTTCAGACGCTCTGAACACAATGTGAAGATAAGATGATCCTTTATTAGTCCCACAATGGGGAAATTCACAAAGCTACAACAGGGATAGAAACAAAGAGCTCAGTGGTAAAAATAGAAAAGTAACAGACAAGGTATTATCAATATAAATGATATAAATATAATAAAAAAAGTAAAACAATATAGAACAGTGGTATGCTGTAAGCAAGTTACAATCAGATCTCAGCATAAAACAATAAAAAAAATATATATATACAAAGATGTATAAAAGGAATACCGCTAGTCAACTACTGAGAAGTTGTATGATTAGATTAGTTATATTGTACCTGAACATTTTAAAATGATGAAAAGTGCCTTGACTTCACTTCTGCTTAAAAACCTTTACATAATGCATTTCAAATATAAAATAATATACATCAAAATAAGTCTTCACATAAAATCAGGTGTCTTCTTCAAGCGCAATACAATTAACAAAATAATGTGCTATAGCATCTAAAGGATTTATCCTTTCACAGAAAATGTAATTAAATTAGACTAGTATGTGGCTCATGGAATAACAGTTACCCTCTAGGTCAGCGATCATGGCCTCCTGTTTATTCTTGAGTTTGCTTAGACTCTTTGCTTTCTCCTCTTCCTCCGTGACCTGGTCGTTCACTTCACTCATACGCTCCTCTAACAGTTTCTTCTCCTGCTCAGTGGAAAAATAAAAATATTGTACAGGATCAAGAAACATGCATAAAAATATGTGCACAAAACATACACACGTGAAGATTATGGTTAACTACGAGGAAGCTTTAATGCGATCTCTACCTTGCTGAGTCGTTCCTTCTGTTCCACTGCAGTCAGCAGGTCGGATTCCAGACTTTTCACTTTGGTCTCCAAAGAAACTTTCTCCAGCAGGAGGCGCTGCCGGGCACTTTCCTCCTCTTCTAACTGCTCCTCCAGGTCCTAACGAAGACATAAAAAAGCAATTTAAATAACATGTTTGGGCAGTGACAGACTGGTGCAAGAGCGAACAAGATAAGGGTAAAAATCTACACTCAAAGTCCTTTTTTAATGTTGCTTCAGAGATTTACTTCTGTTTTAATAATATTCATTTCTGGTAGGAAAAAAACTGCACATCTCTCCTAACCTGTATGGTCTGTTGCATCTTCTTCTTCTCATTGGTCAGCTGCACACCTCTCTCCTCCTCTTCCACCAGTCTACTCTCCAGCTCGCCCAGCACTTCCTCCAGCTCTTGCTTACGATTGGCCAGTCTGGCCCTCATCTCTTCTGCCTCTGCAAACAGCTCAGCCTCTGCCTGCAGCTGGTCAGCCAGCATTGCTTTCTCCTCCATCAGCTGAAAAATGACAGGGAGGAGGAGGACTGATAAGTGAGCCAATGATTCACAGCCAAGCAGAAGGTTTTCAGTGTAGGGGGAACATGGATAGACAGTTGGCAGAATAAAATGGAGGTTTGTTTACTTGAGCGTGTTTCTTGTCCAGCTCAGTGTAGTCCTGCTCCACTCGGGTGATCTTCTCGTTGGCCTTCTGGAGTGCAGCTTCCCTAGCCTGGATCTCGTCATCTTGCCGGCTCACTTGCAGCAGGGGCTTCACCTGACACAGAACAAGGGTTAGAGGTCAATGTAAAGGACGTCCACATTCCTGCATCCAGTACGTATTTGTCATGCTTTTGTCATGGATCTAAAGCCCCTGTATGGACTTTACAATATGTTTTGCCAGGTTCTAATACTTAGTCCTATTCCCTTTGCTTTAGTTATTAATCTTATTAAAGTAGGTCCTGCGATGGTGCAATGTGCGTCTCTCTTTGCAGAATTTCATTGAGACACTTTATCACAACTATTTAAATAACCGACTTTTGTTTCATTAATGCAAGTAAAATTAACTAAATTCAAGCAACACTGAGCAAAATATACTCACCTTTCAGCATTGTCTGCATTGCATATTTCATGTCTACACTGTGATATGTTCACAGTACCTTTGTGAACAGCCGCCACCACTGCCAGTTCCTGAGTTTGAGGTAAGCGGCACAGTTCCTCTGCATCACTCTCACAGAGCTCATCTGCTGCTGTTTCTTCACAAAGGCTCTGAGAAACAACAACAATGCCACAATAAATCAACAAAGATACTGTACATATGCATATGCAGGCAGCCTTTAAAATGATTCAAAGTGACAAATCATCACCCAAACAGATGTCCAGTATTAGCATGTCATTGCTATAATCTGCTAGATTATAGCAGAAAATAACATCTGCAGGCATTTGACAGGAACAATAATCTACATCAACAACTTGAGATTTGGTTTACATAACTATTTGACCACGTTTCTACAGTCCTAACATTTATGTACATGGTTCAGTGATGGGGCAGTACCAACACTGAGCGACTGGTATTACTGAATATTTTGCTGTCAAGTAAAAGAGCTAATTATAAAGCAGTTTTATTAGTCAACTCCATCCCCAGGGACACTTGGTGAGGGACTTATGGACATTTCAGACACTTAGTTTTAAGTTGCATTTGAATGTTTTTATGCACTTTTTCTTTATTAATGTTTTAATTAACTGTAAAGTACTTTTACTGTCTATGAAATGTGCTATACAAATACACATGCCTTAGTTTTGTTAATAGGCATTAATCACAGAATTAATCAAATTCAAACTCAATATTACAATTTCTATTACCTCTAATTATTCTGTCTAGTCATTTACAGGACTCCATAGTCTGTGCCAAAGGCCCGTCACTGCTGCTGCTCTTTCTGAGTAACTGATAGGGGCTGACAAAAGATTAGGTAAAATACCAAACTGCCTCCTAAACAGCAGCAAGCCCAGCAGTACTACATGCTTGCCTTTGCGTATCCCTTTGGTTTATTTGGTGAAAAGTGACTGTTGACTGGTTGTTGATATAAGTCAGTTCATGTATAACATTAAAATGGCCACTAATAACAGTTCATTATTGTCAAAATCTACAGATAAATAAACACCTCACATCTTGTCATATGTGAAGTAGCCAAACAGCACATATTATTATTATGTGGACACCTGCACCAAGTGAAATTCCTTGTACACTCATACACAATAAAGATTTCTATTAATGTTTACTCTTTGTTAACATTCTTACTGGCGTGCGAGGTAACCTCTAGCAGCGCTCTGGAAGCGTATGATGATGTCAGTGATTTTTAGGTCTCTTTCTTCTTCCAGGTGACCCAGGACTCCAGCTCTGAAGAAGATTTTACTCTGACCCACCCTGTACAAGTTGTGATCCAGCTCCAAAGCTTTGATCTGAACAAGGACACAGTGGTCAGTTAACAGCGGCTGGTAAATCCACCAATATACTGTACATTTACAGCTACTGAAAGATTACAGGTCAAAAAGGCCATGAGTTCTCACCATGAGTTCTGATGCCTGTTTGCCATCCATGAATGTGCGAGGAATGGCATTAGGAGTCAGGATCTCATATCTGAAAAACAAGTGTGATTCTGTAAACATTTGAGATTGAGAACATGAAAAAAAGGTAATTAGCAGAAAGTGCTTGAGAAAGCATGCAGCGTGTGTGTGAGAAAGAAAGCGAGAGGAATATTCTGTGATATAAAAGTACAACCACATACACACCTCTGTCTGAACTCCTGGAAAGGGATGCGGTTAGGGAAGCCTTGTCTGCAGATACGGATCCCCTCCAAAACTCCATTACACCTCAGCTGGTCCAAAACCAGGTGGGGGGTCAGCTTGCCAGCCTGAGAATAATACAGGAAGATACAGAAAGGAAGGGGGAAAGACAAGCAAAGGATTAAAATAAAAATTAAAAAAAAAATCAGAACAAAGACAGACAGTTTCTCCAATTTCTTTTGAGGTTCTTGCAAACCCCTGCCCCTTCTTTTCCTCATCCAGTTCCCCGTGTCTCACCTTCTTCTCATGGTTGGGGATGATGCAGCGAAGGAAGTTGGGGTTTGTGTTCCTCAGAGTGGCCATCAGCTTGGTGAGGGATTCTTTGTAGAGCTGACCAACAGTCCTGAACATTCCCTTCTTTGTCTTCAGTCCCGCTGCTCCGAATGTGACAGGCCCACTGCTTTCTCCCGAGGACACCTGGTCCAGTCTCACAACCCTGTCAACTGGATGATAACACAGAGAAAGGTCTTAGTTTTGGCAGCCATTATCAATTAAGTAGAGTAAAAGGGGGTGTTTGCCAGACTTGATTTGGCATGTTATGTTTGTGTGAATGCCACAGCATAATGCGTTCAAATCTGCTATAATGTCTATGGAGAGATGATATCAGATGGATTTGGAGCTCATTAGAGATGCAAGAGTGTGGTTTCAAAGCCAATACCAATAGCATATACAGTTGGGTGCAAAAGTTAGTATCCCCTTACTTTGAAATGGCAAAACAAATTGTTTTTCTCCTCAACATTATATTTAATGCACATTCAGGTAGTACAACTGTTCCGTCATCAACACAACAAAAGGCACTGATATGATTTTAGCCATTTTATGTGCATTAAATATCATGTTGGTGAGAAAAAAATCTTTGTCTTACGCTTTTTGTCATTTCAAAGTAAGGGGATACAAACTTTTGCACTCAACTGTATTTGTACCGTAAGACAGTGTACATACAGGTGCTTTATTAAATAAAAAGCTTTATTTTTTGTGAAGAATCAACAACAAGTGGGACACAATCATGAAGTGGAACGAAATTTATTGGATATTTCAAACTTTTTTAACAAATAAAAAACTGAATAATTGGGCGTGCAAAATTATTCAGCCCCTTTACTTTCAGTGCAGCAAACTCTCTCCAGAAGTTCAGTGAGGATCTCTGAATGATCCAATGTTGACCTAAATGACTAATGATGATAAATAGAATCCACCTGTGTGTAATCAAGTCTCCGTATAAATGCACCTGCACTGTGATAGTCTCAGAGGTCTGTTTAAAGCGCAGAGAGCATCATGAAGAACAAGGAACACACCAGGCAGGTCCGAGATACTGTTGTGGAGAAGTTTAAAGCCGGATTTGGATACAAAAAGATTTCCCAAGCTTTAAACATCCCAAGGAGCACTGTGCAAGTGATAATATTGAAATGGAAGGAGTATCAGACCACTGCAAATCTACCAAGACCTGGCCGTCCCTCTAAACTTTCAGCTCATACAAGGAGAAGACTGATCAGAGATGCAGCCAAGAGGCCCATGATCACTCTGGATGAACTGCAGAGATCTACAGCTGAGGTGGGAGACTCTGTCCATAGGACAACAATCAGTCGTATACTGCACAAATCTGGCCTTTATGGAAGAGTGGCAAGAAGAAAGCCATTTCTTAAAGATATCCATAAAAAGTGTCGTTTAAAGTTTGCCACAAGCCACCTGGGAGACACACCAAACATGTGGAAGAAGGTGCTCTGGTCAGATGAAACCAAAATCGAACTTTTTGGCAACAATGCAAAACGTTATGTTTGGCGTAAAAGCAACACAGCTCATCACCCTGAACACACCATCCCCATTGTCAAACATGGTGGTGGCAGCATCGTGGTTTGGGCCTGCTTTTCTTCAGCAGGGGCAGGGAAGATGGTTAAAATTGATGGGAAGATGGATGGAGCCAAATACAGGACCATTCTGGAAGGAAACCTGATGGAGTCTGCAAAAGACCTGAGACTGGGATGGAGATTTGTCTTCCAACAAGACAATGATCCAAAACATAAAGCAAAATCTACAATGGAATGGTTCACAAATAAACATATCCAGGTGTTAGAATGGCCAAGTCAAAGTCCAGACCTGAATCCAATCGAGAATCTGTGGAAAGAACTGAAAACTGCTGTTCACAAACGCTCTCCATCCAATCTCACTGAGCTCGAGCTGTTTTGCAAGGAGGCATGGGCAAAAATTTCAGTCTCTCGATGTGCAAAACTGATAGAGACATACCCCAAGCGACTTACAGCTGTAATCGGAGCAAAAGGTGGCGCTACAAAGTATTAACTTAAGGGGGCTGAATAATTTTGCACGGCCAATTTTTCAGTTTTTTATTTGTTAAAAAAGTTTGCAATATCCAATAAATTTTGTTCCACTTCATGATTGTGTCCCACTTGTTGTTGATTCTTCACAAAAAATTACAGTTTTATATCTTTATGTTTGAAGCCTGAAATGTGGCAAAAGGTCGCAAAGTTCAAGGGGGCCGAATACTTTCGCAAGGCACTGTATATATATATAAAAAGACCATGATTCTGTTCCTGTTCTAACAGATGTATAAAAAGACATACTGGTCATGACATTGCCACTTCCCCCAGCCAAATATCTACATTCATGAGTTTGCTATCTGAAGCTATTTAAATGTTAGTACTGTATGTCAAAACGTTGTATCTCTAGAGCCCATTCAGGATCACATTTCTGCCTGCACATGGTTGTTTGCCAGTGGCAGCTGTTTGTAGCAGTATTGTGCAGCACAACTCCTATGTGATCCTCAATGTGGCTTTTATGACTAATCTTGAGCATGCTGCTACATTTACAATTGAATTTCTACTAAACCAAGGTGAATTACTTCTCTACAAATCTACATCATATAAGCACATTACTGTCACTTAAAGCCAATACTCTGTGAAAGAGCAACTGAGTTAACATTAACAGTGCAGTGACAATATGCAAAAGGAATTAATGTGTAACAGCTCATGACACCACAGCACAATAAAGAGGAAACAAAACACACACAATTATAAAAAACTGGACAGTCAGTAAACAAATGAGTTATCTGAGCAGAGGTGGGAGTGAGGAATGTGAGTGTGACACACAGAGACGGAAAAAAACCTACTGTCTGCACCATTGGTCTGTATTGTGGCATAGGAGTCAAAGAAGTACACACGAGGAAGAGTTTGAATATCTGATGCAGGGAGAAGGAAAGCACAAGGAGAAAGATAAGAGGAAAGGAAAGAAGGACCACAAGTGAGCACCAAATTAGTAGAGAGAGAAGAGAAGAGAAAGGGAAAAGAGCAAGAAGGAAGAAGAACAGAGAGAGCAGCATAGTGGAAGACAGTAGAAAGATTGAACAGTTGCATAACAGAGAAAAAGAAAAAGAAATGCAAGTCAAGTTAGTACATCTTGCACCAGAGGGTTCCATTACTTATATTTGATGCATTATCAAATACATTTAAAAGTACATGACCCTCCTTTATGAAATACATTTTTGCATACTATACACATATGAAGCCTATGAGTTAAAGGTTCAGTGTACATAGCGGTAAATGAACATGTAATCTTACCCTCCTTCCACAGTTCTGAGACAAAATGATCGGATGACTGGTGGAGAAGAGACGCCACATTATCGTTCAGTGGATCCATGTTCTTCACCAACCAATCATTTGCCTTATAGTCCACCTGAGAATTGGGAGGCCACAATGGGGAGATAAATGGTTAGATGAGACACTACAGAGAGCAGTAAACATCTGCAATGTGGTTTATTTGAAGAGACACCTTTCCAGCATAGTGAATAATGGAAAAATCAGCTTCTCCACGTGGTTGCTTTGATTTGAAGAATTTTGCATGGCTGCCTTGCTCAGTAGACAGCTTCTCCACAAATGAGCGGTCTGTCGCCCGAGGGAACCAGCACTCTTCATCAAGCAGGGCAAGAACACCAGGTGGGTTGGTCTGACAAAGACAGGGAACAACAACAAAATTTATTGCAAATGAAACATGAATTTTCAATTCAAGATGCCTTGGTATTAAAGTTGCATGTGTGGCTGCATGTAGAGGTTTTCGTTTCTTAACACTTAGCAGGTAACATTGTGGGCTTCTGTTTAATAGCACCGTGTTTCTGTGTGTATGTACCGGCTTCTCAATGAGGTCAATGCAGGGCTGTAAGTCTAGGCCAAAGTCAATAAAGTTCCATTCAATGCCCTCCCGCTGGTACTCCTCCTGTTCCAGGATGAACATGGTGTGGTTGAAGAGCTGCTGCAGCTTCTCATTGGTGTAGTTGATACACAGCTGCTCAAAGGAGTTCAGCTGCAGAGGAGGGATTTAGGAAAGCAAAGATACAATAAGTCATGTAACGTACAACGGAAAAAAGACACATCTCATGCTTGTCAGGATATTCCAGTTTACAACTTTGACCACTACATGAGAAAATGTTGGGGCATGCTAAAAAAAAAAAAAAGCCTAAATGTTATCATTATATGTGTTACAAATGGGAAAAGCTACAAACTGTATATAAAAAAAAAAAAAAAAAAACATCACATGAACAAACCTGGAAGATCTCAAACCCGGCTATGTCCAGGATACCTATAAAGGAGGCTCCCTGCCTCTGCCTGCGATCCAGAGCTCTGTTGATCCTGTAAACCAACCATCTGAACAGACGCTCATATGTAGCCTTCGCCAAGGCCGCCACAGCAAAGTCAGCCTAGAAGAAGAGAGAAACACTGTTAGATACACTCCACAGGGACACATCTGGTTATCTGCATGAGTACAAATCTCTAGTCACATAAAATTATACCTGTTCTTTAGTCTGAGCTTTCTGCACATACTCTCGACCCACTTTAATCCTGGGAGTGAGGATGGCCCGAGTGAACTCTAGCACATTCATACCCAGCAGATGGCACAGTTTCTGAGCAGCTGTGTCATCAGGCATAGACGCCTGGTCCTGGTTGTTCTCCTTCATGAAGGTAATGTTCCCAAACTGGAGCACAGCAGAGATCACCTTCAGCATGGCTGAGGAGAGGTGAGACAGGGTCATTTATAGCAAAGATCAAATATGCACGAAGCAAACAACTTTCTCCATTTCTCCCCTCTCGCTTGTCTTACATGTTGACTCTTCTGGGGTGAAGCCCATGATGGCCATAGAGTCCATGGTCTGAGTGAAGTTCTCGGAGTCACTCTGACCAGGAAGAGGGATGGAGCCTCCACTGAGAAAGCGGTACTCATCAGCTGTCCCTAAAAGCAGGTCCGCTACAAATGGAAAAACAAAGGATATTTAAGTAAAAACATCAATCATTTCAGGACAGTGATGAATCTTATAAGTCCATTTTACCAAAATGACATATAGTATATACAGTATGTATAACGGGCCGACGTCTTCCTTTTTGCTCACCTCTAGTTTCCGTTGAAGCACCACACAACATCTGGTAAAAGACATGGAATGTCCTCTCATCTTTGGCCTGACGGGTGGCCCGGGACTTTTCAAGGAGGTCTAGATTTATATGGTCATGGACATGTACAACCAAAAATAGCACAATATTCCAGTTTCTTATCATAAAACTAGATATACATTAGCTCTGGTTCTTCTAACAAGTTATTGTTTGTTTTTAAAAAGGTTTATACCTTAATCTCAATCAATTTCACTCACTGACACAAGATACAACTGATCTCTCAAAAACCTTTGAAGATATGCAAAAGGATACAGGTCTCAATGTTGGCACCAACAATGTACCCCGTAACATCAAAATTAATGCGGATAAATTTACCCTGAAGAAGAACAAGAAATTGTTTTATATTTTTGTTCATTCCAGTAGCAAACAGTCAAACTGATGACACTGACATGAGCCATTTCAGGGGCTAATAACATATACTGTAGTATCTGTTTGTTTAAAATAAAAAACAAATAAATCTAGACAATTCTTACAAATCTAGAAGAGTTGTCATTCTTGACAGTCTTCGCATTGCCAAAGGCCTCCAGTATGGGGTTGGCCTGCAGTAACTGTTTCTCCAGCTCACCCTGAGACACACAGTAAACAGCAGATCAGTTTCACAACACAGACATAAGACCCCCAGAGAAAGACTTTCAGAATGATTATCTGCTAAATGCACCATTTAAGTCCACTCTCTTTGGAGTAACTTGTCTGCTGTAAAAATATATAAAAAAGAAAAGAAAGAAAGAAATGCACGATGCATCCTTGACAAACAGAGGCACAAATTGGTGCATTTTAGGACACAAAATAATACCAACAACACACTCACACACACACACACACAAATCCCAGACCCAGGAACAAATGATTCTCAACGTCAATAAGAGTAATAGGTCTGCATTAGTTAATAGTAAGTAATTAATAATAAGGGCATCAATCTTGTTTTGCTTTTAATTCATTAAATTTTTCTCTCTTACATTATTAAAAGGTAACTTCAGGAACAGCTGAGAACCACTGTTTTAAAGTAATGAGGGCAGAGGGAAGCTGAAGCTTGAGATGCTACATCACACACACAAGCTGCATATTGGCTGATTTCTGCTGGCTGCAATGCAACACTGCAGTTGTTGCATTGCCAGTGCAGCAGCTGTTGATGCAGCAGTAGCCATTGATGGGTATCAAGGGAGTTACAGTATCTACGTGGGGTGATTATACTGTAAAAAGGAATGTGAAGTGGCCAACACTAAAGGCAGACACAGACAAAAGACATACAGTATAGAGCAAGAGGTTGGAAGACATTATTATAGGGAGAAAACACACAGCAAACAATGTGTATGCTGCACACATTGACAAAACTATGCTTTTTCATTTTCTACACACTGGCATGGGCAGTTGCAGCAACACAGAAACAGCCAGTCCCACACCCAAACCTGCACTCATTCATTCATACACACATACTGTACAGTTCATGTCATCACAACCACTCCTCTACAGTAGAAATGCTTCATAGTTATACAGGCATGTACTGTAACAACTTGTGACATATACAAGTCACTAGGAATAGGAAACCATCACTAAGCCCACTGAGTATAACCAGATGAAGAGTATGAAACATCCTATTACTAGAGGCCACCAAACCCATGCTTCCCTTTATGTAGTAAAAGGAATCATACCAGCTCCATTAAATACTGCACATGAAAAGCTTCAATCCTACAGACCCCCAGTGAGTAAACCCCAAGTCGTCTAAATATGTTCATACTCACATAAAGCATACTCTGACGAATGGTGATAAAATGAAGTTTAGGGAGGAGGAGAATGTGTGGATGGGATAAATAAACAAGAAAAGACAAATAAGACAACAATAACAACAACAAAGGAATACAAAAACCAAATATACTGTACAATACACGGCTTGACTGTTATGAGGAACCACAGCAGTAGTGACAGTTTAAAGGTTTGAGGTTACTCTGTTGAATTAGTCAGAATCCTCATGGAGTTCATCAAGCAAAAAACAAGAAAGGGCATAAACAAAAAAAAAAAATAAATAAAAATAAACTCACCCTGTTCACCATAGTACTCCCTCTTGTTAAAGACCTAGACCCATCCACCTGAACATGCAGGAAAAAGAGAAGGCCAATGCAGAGAGGAGAGAGTGAGGGGAAACAAGTGTAGGGGCAAAAGAAGGAATACAGCAAAAAGACTGACAGAGAAATCCCACTCCAGGTTTTAGGAAAAAAAAAACTTATTCCTGCAGAAAAAAACATGATATAATAATAAGATCAGTCTGTAAAAATAAATAAAAAGAAAAGTAATGCAGGTTGACTGAGTTAGGGAAAAGACAGTGTAAGGAACCATTTCTGGGAAGTAGTCTTATTCAGAAAGTTAGATGAAGTGGCTGATGCCATTCTCTTATCTCTGTACAGAGAGAAATGGGAAGCGATAAAGTTAGCATTGCATGAGGCCTGGCTTCCCAAACAGCTATGACTTGGCTCTGCCCAAAGTTCAAGAATATACCTATACCATTTTAACTTTTAAATTTCTGTTTATGTGGAATTTTTAAATAAAATGTCGTGCTAATTAATGACCTTTAAACATGCACTAGCCTTTATCTCTAACTCTCTGACAGAAAGCAAGTGAGCTTACATCCATTAGCTATTCTATTACAGTAATAAGGGCAATAGTCTGGAAAATCATGGCACCATATGTCAAAGTGCAATGGCCAAGAGGAACAGAATAAATGTAAGCAGGAAAAAAATGTAACAGGGACACAACACATTAAAAGTGCATACAGCAGCCATTCGTGCAACTATTTGTACATTACTGTAATGCAAGAACCATTCTGCTTAACTTCTACTTTGTTTCCTACAGCTTCAGCCTACCTCTTGCCTATTTCTTTTCCTTATCTTTGCTTTCCTCAACACTTCTTCCCTTTCTCCATCTTTCCTGTTATTCACCTCTCCTCTCTTTCTTAAAGTTCTTCTCATTGTATGTTCTTCCCAGCTGCCTTTTTCCATTCTTACATCTGTGACGTACCTGTGCGGCTTCTTTGCTCCTACCAGGAGTGCCACCCTTATGAGAGGAGGCAACGTGAGCCAAATACTGGATGACTTTCTTAGTGTTCTCTGTTTTCCCTGCTCCAGACTCCCCTCTGGAACACACATGTAATACCATTCTTTTCACAAAATAGTCCATCTTAAATGCATATGGTTTCAATTATGAAGAGCATATACTGTATGAGCATTTTAAAGCGAGAGAACACACAGGAACAAGTGATCACACGCATTCATCACACCAATAAATATAGGCCATGCAGTGCATTCAAAGCCACAGAGCTAAACAGAAAGCAGGTGTGGAGGATACCGGCTACGTCAGTATTGTTGCTTTTGGAGAAGAATGAAGGAGAATGGAGCAAAAATAGCAAGTGTAAAAGGTCTACAAGAAGCAGACGCTTCGTCCCAAATATTCAAGATGAACCTAAAGTAGGACCACTGACAATGGCAGGAAGAATCTGGCAGGAAGGCAGGATGACAGAGAGAAACATAGCAGGCTCTCAGGCAAGCAGGTAAGTAGACAAATGATGGCCGCAGACAGACAGGAGCCTGTTATCATACTTTAGGCCTTAATCCTCATTTCTGCTTTTGCTCAAGTCTGATTTTTATGTCTGGTCTCTTTCAATTCTTTCAACTCAGCATGAACAGTAGTCAGGCCTGCATGTTTACACTTACATTTACTGTAAAACAACAAATGTAACAGTGTATATCCTACATTAACTATGAGTATCATCAAAAAAATGGTATACTTTAAATTATCATAATTGTTGGAAACAATAAAAACACATTTGAGAAGCCTAAAAATGTTGTCGGTCACATGGTCGAGGATCAGATTAGATCTTAAAACTACACATGAAAATAAAAAAAATAAAAAAACTATCTGTTGACAACAATGAAAATAATGTCAGATGTGCATGAAATGCACATATAAAAATCTGATAGTTGTATACCTGCAAGCACTAATACACACAAATGAAAACACATGAACCCATACCAGATACATACTGTACATGCACACACTTCAATATGACTCTCACGTGACCTATAAGCAGATTTTCCTCATGGCAAATGACAAAGAACAGGCACAGTGGCATCCTACTGTAAGTTACTCACGTGCAGAGGATGGACTGATCTTCTCTGTCTGTGAAAGAAGAAAAACAGTATGAGGACATATGAGTGATGTCATATTATGTACTTCACTTGCACAATGCATTCATATGAAAACTCAACCAGATCTAGCTAACACCCTAGACAGACAGGCAGACAGGGTTTAACAGCTGTATAGGAGTGAGGAGGTGAGGTTACACCATGCCCCCACCCCACCTAACCAAGCAGGAAGTGGTCTTGAAGCCACCATACAACCAGGGTTTGTGGTTAATGAAGTGAGTATAAAGATGGACTTACACTAGTCCACTGCTCCCTCCTGTGTTTAAATCTCTGACTGCGCTCTGACTCTTGACATGTCAGTCACTCTTTCACTATTTACTACTGCAGACAAAAGCTTAACTGGTCTCCCCAGGCCACCAAACCACACAACACTGGCAGTGAATGGGTGGGCACTGTGTGCAGCACCGCTTGTATTTGCTTTTAAGATTCCCACGCTTTCAGTCTGGAAGAATTCATACTGGTCCTACTGGTTCAATCACTGTAGTAACACACCTAGCACTTGCCCTAAGGGGTGATGTGCAGGGGCTAAGGTGGGTGACAAATACATAAACATAGAGCCTCACTGGTTCTGCCATGTTATTCCAGGAAGACATCCCGAGGCAGAAATATTGCTCAATCAGCCGGTAATGGTTGCTGGGAATCCTCTCCGCCTCATTTCATGAACTCAACATTAACAGGTAGGGCCTAAAAAAATGTCTGCCATGCATTGTTGCCACTAGTAAAATATGTAGGTAGTATCATCACCACAACAAATATACGATGAGATCATTGGATCTACTGTTCATTAAAAGGAGTGCCAACACCTGGAACACTGTGTTACTAAAAACGCAGGCCTACTTGTATTCTCTTTTAAAGTGTTTGATAACAGTCACGGATCAGGAATATACCACACCTTCAAATATCAAAGATCACAGACAAGATGCAGTACCACATTCTAGGTCAGCTGAGCTGATAACAAATGTATGGGTGAGCTACAGTGTCAGAGTTCAAGGGTCAGAGGTCACAGACAATATTAAGTACCTTGTAGCATACTGCGATAGGCAGCCTCTGATATGGCGTAGATATGTGGGGGCATCTCATGACGTTTTTTGCCGCGGTACATCTCGACGATGGACTCTGTGTAAATGGGCAGGTTCTTGTAAGGGTTCACCACCACACAGAACAGCCCGGAATAAGTCTGGAAGAACACAGAGAACAGAGAGATTAACATTTACCTTATTTTCACCGTATTTCCACTGAGCCTCTGATTTAGGATATCAATGCCAGGAGAATACAACTGTCTCATTTACTTGTAGTTCTGTCTGAAGGGCTCAGTATACACAGTTTATAATTCACTCAAAAAATTCTTCAGAATATATATAGAATATCTGCACTCTGTATTCTTATTCATTACTGCTCAGATGTGGGTACTACAGGTGGCTCTACTTCTTTTATTCAGTGGCAGTAAGTACAGCACTAAACCAACAGCTGTGCCAAATGCTCAAGGCAATGACTCAATATATTATGCAGGTCAACACCATTCTCCCTGGTTAGTGTGGCACAGGTAAACATAACACTTTATCTGAACATTCAGGGCTAAGCTACTGATTATGTAGGAGGTGTCAATAAGATGATTTCACTCAAATAAACAATCAGTCAATCATTACGCACAAACTACACATATGTAACATACATAATATAAAAACATACATAATTACACACAACTGAGGAAGTTTCACCAGTGTATCAACCATTTATGATTTAAGGACAGCTGTGGCTCAGATAAATGCCACCAGTGACTGGATTTTACCCACAGTGAGTGAGCAGACACACCCAGACATACTGTGTCCTCATACTGCATTCCAACTGCAATCAAAATCATGGATGATACACACACCACTTTATCTTATCTCGACATGTAATACGCCTCTCTAAGTTATTCCAACAATGTATCGCTGCTCCTCATTGCCCATCTCTTTATGTTTCCTCTCTGCTACATTCTCCTTCATTCATACAAATAATAGCCAACTTCATTCAATTGCCTATATATTATTCTACTTTAATTGGACATACTGAAATATATGCCGTCTGGGTGTGTCAGTCACTATATGACTATGTCTTTCATTCCCATCTACTGTACTATATCTGTCTTATCCTACGGATATCTCTTCTTTACACTCTCTTCCCCTTTTCTGTAACAGAAACTTTAGGCCCCACACCAGCACCGCACACACATGAACAACATTGTAATCTAACCCCTCACCTCTCTTACTGCACCATATCAATAACAGGAGATGCCACATGACCTCACCACCAACACATGTGTGTACACAACATCACAGACTGCTTCCTCTTTTTCATCTAAGTATATGTGCACTGGCGTGGAACACATCTATAGTTCCTTGATTGGTTTTATGCTGTGCTAGAGCAGTTGTTGTTTTATGCACTCACATAGATCAAGCCAGAGTAGTATCTTTCTCTCAGGTTGTGCAGCACTGAGGCTTCGTTGAGGCAGGTGAGGTCAGCCATGTCCTCCACTTTACTGAAACGTGGAGGGTTCATTCGCTGCACCTCCTCCCTGGACAGAGTCACCCGCCGCTGGCTGTCTGTAAGCTCAACCTCCACCTCATCACCACGCTCCTCACGAATACTGGCCGACTGGGGGCAGAAATGCAAAGAGATTTAGCAAAGAAAGAATGGGACATGAAGGAAGAGTTTCTGTACAGAGTGAACATCGATTAGCCTGTAGTTTAAACTTGCTTGAAAAAGGTAATCCACCACAGCAGACCTCATGTCTATATTGACTGCTGAAAGTACATCAATCTCAGAATAATGAATACCACAAATCTCTTTAAATGAATGATGAGAACATAATGCTAAACATTTCCTGCAGTAAAAATATGATTTTTGGCAACCACAAATCTTCCCGGAGAAATCTGCAGTTTCTTTTGACGCTGCGCTATCAGTCTCATCCAAGTTTCAAGATTCTGAATTTTTTCCTTCACAGTGAAAAGAATAAAAAATAATAGCAACCCAGAAAGTAAAAGTTATCATCAATTAAATTAAAAAAACTACTTTGGAAAACTGTCTAAATGAATGTAGTTGTTTTGTTGATTTGTGGTTACTGGGCTCTAACACATAAAGAAATGTGGTCTAGTCTTTTAACTCCAGAATAAACCAGCTGACCTACATTTAAAATGAAATAAACTTTGAGAACATACAGGTGAAAAACTTTGGCAGATCAATGAGCCTTAAGAGTAACAGTATCATCATCAGTAGCAGAAAAAAAAGAAGAGAGGAGCTCTTTTGTCAGGCTGTTGGTCCCTTGTGCTTGTTGGGCAGGGAGTAGTGGGCTCAGGGTCTGACCAGGTCACAAGGCTCTGCTTTGCTAGACTGTATTCTCTCTGCTACTTATCATGTACACAAAATACTGTATGTGTGTCTGCGGTTGCATGCACGTGGGTGTATATTAGTCACAGATTGAACTATATGTTCAGAATATAAAACTGGATGAAAGCCTGCATATGTGTGTATGTGTGTTTATCAAACAGTGCCATTCTCAGTTCATGCGTGTAAAATGTCAGTGTCTTTGCAAAAGCTTCTTTAACATTTAGGCGGCTGAAGGAGAGTATTGTTCTATTCATAGAGCTCTCTATAAAACCAGCCCAGCAGAGAGAGGGAGACTCAGAGACAGGACACTGAATTCATACGTCATATCCTACAATATGGACCAATAAAAACTTGTAATGTGCATTATGCAAGTATTGTGACAAACTGTAACAAATTAATATTTCAAAAAGGGCACTGTGATAGTCATTAGGCCCAGATGTGGCAGAGGATGTTGCAAGGCATTTTAAAGAATCTAATATGTTGAAAGAAACCATGGGAAAAAGAGCATCATTGTTGGAATAAAAACTTCATAAAATACAATAACATACACACACACAAAGACACACCCTATGCTGTTTTGGTCTACCAGTTTGAAACACCTGAAGGCACAACACTTGAGCTTAATTATGTGCAGGAGGATCTGTAGTCAAGATTCTGAAATGTAGCTTTATTTCTTTAAGTCTTTACATCTAGGATGTTTTCAATTATATGTTGGTGCTTATTGGAAACAAAAAGCCAAAATGTCATCCATTTTTTTTCCTGAGCGGACAACACCAGCTTACCTCAAAGCCAAGTTTCTCCGATGGCACCCACACCAGCCTCTTGGCTGCCCAGTCGGCCTGACTGGCAGCAGAGAACACAGAGTTGGAGGTGTTAGTCCCTGGCCCCACCCCCGATGATAGGAAGTGGGTGACATCATTGTCACTGCCCCCTACTGGTCTGGACATGGTACTACTGGCACTGGGTAAAGAGAACAAGAGGCAAAAAAAGGGACAATAAAAAGTGAGACTATCCTGAGCCATTTCTCATCACAGTCATACTCTCTTGTGAGAGGCTGAAAACTGGAGCGGATGATATAAAGGACTGTTGGACTGTGACACTGATGTGATTCTATATCAAGACACTACAGACAAGAATGTAATGTGCATCCATCCACTCAACCACAGATAAAGGAGGTGCAGTAGTAGCACGCAAGCAGCATGCAGGTCATATCCAGCTGAGATTGGGCTGAGGATGGCCTAATTGAAAGACATTACAAAACAAGGAGAAGACAGGGTTGGAAGAAAAAGGAAGATTGGAGAGTAGGGGGTGGAGAAACAGCGAGATACATCAATCATCTGAGTAAGCTGAAATGACAGTGAGGAGGCAGAGATGGGGTGAAAGGAGGAAAAAGGGTGGGACAGCAGCAAGGAGAAAGGATCAAAATGAACTACACCTATTGTAAAGTGTAAGAAAATGAAGGCCACTGGACTCAGCAAAGATACAACTCCAGTGAGGCCACTACTGAGGACTAGTGGAAACAATGAAACCAAAGTGCTTATTCACCATAGGGGCTCCTATTCTGTGAGACAGAAGTTGACAGTGACTAAAAGTAGTTACTTCCCTGAAACATGAAGGCACTCTCCAGTCAGAGCAACTGTAATTTTGCACCAGAAAGCTCCAAGATTTGCTTTGATAACTAATAATCATGTACGGCACTGATTCCATGTCAAAAGTTCACTTGGTGGATGACAATGTAAAACTTTAAATTAAGGTCAGTAGGAATGACTTTGTTTCAGATGGAGCAGCTGCTGTTGTGACCAGGATGGTCTATTCAATGCTATATAATACAAATCTACAGTATTCACATCCTTAGCAGTTGATAGAAGATTCATCAGCAGCTATTTTGACAGTTGTTAAATCACTGAAGTACATTTTATGCAAAAATGGTGAAAATTCGCTAGTTCCAGTTCCCTACATGCACATGGTTTTCTTAGTTTTCTATCAAACTGAATATCTGATTCTTTTCTTCTAAAAATAGAAGACTCATTCTCAAATTGACATCTTTTAATTTTATTAGCTGCTGGATCTTGATATACAGTATTTTTGCAAGAAACTGAAGGTCTGCTGTAAATCTGCATTATTATAGTTATTGGTGGGTTAATTTTGTGTGATTGAATGATGAGCTAGCGGCTAGTGTTGATATTAAAATAACATGTAACAGATCATTATGATAATCAAAATGAGGCTTTATGGGGGGATGAGCTGACACAAGGTCATCTTAAGTAAGCACAATGGATGAGGTGAGCCTGAATTCCACCTACAGTAAGACTGATGAGGCAGGCAGGCCGGTGTACCAGGCTATACAGTGTGTTTTAACTATTAGGTGTCTCCATGCTTTCTCAGGTATGTCACCAGGCCTGATTCCTGCAATGCGTCTCAGTCTCAGTTTTTTATTCTCTGTCTGTTCGTGACAGAGACTGGTCCCCAACCCTGACGTTACTATACCTGTTATGCCAATATAACTCTGGGTGTGGAATAAACATGTTGACAAAGGAGTAGCCACCACCTATCCAGTCAGTATGAAAACTATGTGATCCCTCAATCATATAAAAGATCTGTGCATCTTTTCTTAAAGGCTTGTGCTATTCTACATTTTTCTTATTGTCAACAAAGCCCATGAAGAAACCAAAACCAAGAATAATGTAGTCCATCTTTCAACACTTTATGACTATTCTATGGCACTCAGGTTGGTCCAAAATCTCCTATAGGTGTCCAATTGGTGACTGCAAAAGTCACAGCATATGATTCAAATCATTTTCATACTCATCAAACCATTAATAAACCCCTTGTGCCCTGTGGATGGGAAGTACTGTCATCCTGAACCAGAACACTCATTTATTCAGGTTTTTCCTTTACTTTGTCACCCACATGTATGATACTACTGAGCACCAAACTGGTCCTGCAGCACCTGGAGTTAAAAAAAAAAAAAAAAAAAAGGATTTTTTTTTTTCCCCCACTTCTCAGCCCCATAGCAACAGCCTGAACAGCAGCAGCAGCAGCCCAGAGACTTACCTTCTGAGTTTGAGCTGAGGTCATTCACTGCGGGGCTCCTGTGGTGTAGGCTATGTGTGCGTGTATCTATGTGTGTGTAAATAATGTGTAGGTGCCTGTGCGTGCGTTAAACGAGAAGCGGGAGGTGGGAGGGACGCCTTTTTGTTCAGCTTTGATGTAAAGTGATATTGTATCTGTGAGGTGAGCTGAGTTGACATTATTGAGCCACTGGTCCTAAAAACCACAGTGCGGCTACAAAGCTGCGGCGTGACCTCTGTAAATTACATCCATTTTAAGACTACAGCACAAAAACTGACGGAGGGTACCGCACCTTAAACATAAGACATGAAGGATCACATGGGCCCCTACCTTTAATTGACTCTGTGAACCCCATGTACGTGAGAGCCGCAAAGCCAGGCATTTTTAATTGGAAATAATGGAAATTGAAATAACTGAATATTAATGGCAATTACTGCAATCGGAAATAATAACTAGGTATTCTTACTATCACACACTGCTCACAGTAGGCCAATATCTTATAATTCAAAGGGTATAAAACCTTTATAATATAGCCATTAAACAGGCACATTTTTGCTTGGCAACACTTGTTCAGGTCATCTCGTTGTTAGTCTCTCTTCGAGGGTGTACATGACGATTAAACCAGTGTGAACGCCTCTAGTCCCACCAACGCTTCATTTTAGGCGTTATGCCACCACATTAGACAAACCTCGCTAGGTTAACGTTAGCCAGCTCCACTGAAATATAATACGGATAGGATATTACTGTGGCTATTTACGAGTCGGATTAGGGTAAAGGCAATTAAATGTCTCACCTTCAGGTTCTGCTGAGTCGTGGATAATGCTGTGCTGCGGGAAGGACCAGGATGAGACTGGTTCTCCGGTATTTTCCTGCCTGATAGGTGTGTAGCCTACCGCATATGCGGTTTCTATCAGTGCACCGCTCTCGCTACAGAGCCACACACACCTCTCGCTCAGAATAAAACAGAGAGCAGTGAGGGCAAGGCGGTGACTTCAGCCCGGAGCAGGGCTTTCTGCTAGGGGACCAACCGGGTACGAGGAGATGGTTTTTACTTAAGCCTCAGAGAGAAATAACCCCAATCAAAATGTACAACCGAGCAGTAGTCCCGCCTTATGAATACGACGAGAGCTTTCCGCCCCGAAACTGGCATGAAACTGGTGCGGCAACAAATCGTTTTAACGGCAGCACAAGAATATACGATGTTAACCAATGCCAACGGGCGAGAGGCGGGGCTAGCTGTGACTGACTTGTCACACAGCCAACGGGAGCGTTGAAACAGGTGCCTGTGCGGCAGTGTCGCGGTACACTGCTACAGTGCGCTACAGTACTCTTTGTCTACCACTCTGCGGCGGCGTGCGCCTGCAGATACCGGTCTGGGATCGGGTTTGTTCGAATCTCCGTCCAAACACAACAGACGGTCATTCAGACATCAGATTCCAGGAGCATGATTCAGATCATCCAAAAAATCTGACTCAAACCAAAGTAATCTCGTAATCAAAGTCTACTCTTTAAACTGTCAAAATGATGCAATTCAGTCATTTTCAAGATGCATTTTTATTAACATCAGTAGGTTTCAAAATTCTTTAAATAAATAATAAGTCCAGACTGTACTCTGACAGAGAAGACCATCAGTGAAAATATAGACTTTTAGACATAACACAGGACATTAACTCTTCTTGCACTGCCTTTTACGACAAGAAAAAAGTCTCAGTCTGCAGGGTGTCATAAGGGTGAAAGCATTATAAACACACTCTGCACACTCTACCTTGAGGCAGCTCTGAAATTGTGTTTCAGCAGGGATTTAGCTTCTTCTTTAGAACAATAGGCAGGTAGTTACCACTTTTATTAGTTTAATCTCACAAATTTTTTGAAAATGTTTGTAGTATTTTCCACTATGTATATTATAAATACCTGTTTGAAAATGTAGTGTGTGAATTGAACAAAGTGAACCCTAAGCAACCAGTGAAATTAACCAATGAAGCATCCATCTATTTCTCTCTGGGGTGTTTACAAGCACTATTGTAATTACAAGGATGATGCTGTAAGTTCAAGTTACATGGAAGTGGTGGCAGGCTGAACAACGTGACCCACCAGGCAGCCTATAGATAAGAACATGGAAGCTCTGAAGGAGGAGAATAAGGGAAGACAGACTCAGAACAGCAGTGGCACTAATTGTATCAGATAATACAGTATTGTAGTAATATCAGTGATATTCCTTTAGTGCAAAGTACAAAGTGAAGCTTCCCAGGTTGTACACTGAACACACTGATTATTAATCAATACTTCATATCATGACAGATTCTCCTGGAAATCTCATATCAGATATGTTCAGCATAAAATAGCTAAAAATATATCGATATTGGCAAGGGTTAGATATATGCTGGACGTGAAAGCACTTCGCATTTTGTATT